AAGAGGAGTTTACATTCAATACAGACCAGGCTGACTCATTAGAGCTGGAACTATAGTCAAGAGAAGATTTGGTACCTTGCCCAAGGCCATTCAATGATTCAATGGCAGAAAGGTCTACTCTGGTGCCTCGATACCGCATCCTGAACCACACTGTCCTGATGCTACTTCCAGCCCAACCTCCTGCTCAAAACAAGTCCATCACCCATGCCAGCCATGGTTCTGTTTAGCTGAGCCTTGAAAAATTTCAAGGACAGAGTCTAACAGCCATGAATATTGATAGCCCAGGTAGCAGAGGAGTTGTCAGCACCCTCGTGTCCACCAAATTAGGCTCCCAGGCTCTGCTATCAGAGAGTTTTTGGCTGCGAGCGTTCCTACTGCCATGTTATTGAGAAACAATATCCTACGAAACGGGAGAAATTAACATAGAGTTGAGTCACCCAAGTCTGGTAATCACCTTCCCCTCCACTATTTTGCAAGTTTTGACTCTGCTGGGAACACAAACGCACACATTTACCGTGCTGCAGACACCCAGACAATGTGCTTTTCTTAGTAATGAAGGGTATCTGCTGCAGAAAAGCCTTTAATTCATTACAGCCCCGGACTAGTAGAGTTTACCGACCGCTCCGATGGGGAATACAATGGCCCTATTGTTTTGCCAAGGGAGGATTTCTTAGTTGCAGGCTGTTGCATAAACTGTATGTTTTCTATTTGTTACCTGATTCATTTCGATGAGCTTCCTGAGATAGGGTTAAGACCATTTGGCGTCCTGCGCTGACGCAATGAAAGAAGCTGTCGCAGGCTGTGGAGCAGATTATTAGTATTACCTCTCTTGGTTTGTTTAAAAAAAAAACTAGGAGGAGAACTTGGTGTTCTCCTAGGGAGAAGAAATTGCACAACAAAATATATGGGAAAAAAAAAGAAGTAAGTGCTTAAATTCCGAAGTCATCTGTTACACTCGATGAAGGTTTTATATCTATTAGAAAAATTCAGTCCTGGGTTTGATGTCACATTCTCAGTGTGACCTTAGATGTGGAGTCATAACTCATACTCATCTGGACTCCTCTCTCCTTGAACCTATTTCTCAACAATCACCCACGAGTGTTGGAAACGCGTTTCTTAGGCAAGGACCTCGAGCCATCAGCTGGCTCCAACCCAGAGGGATTCAAGGAAGAACCATTCACATCTGGGAAAGTGGCTGGTTGGTAGCTCCAAGTTCTCACTGGGGCTAGTGGTATCTAGACCAGTTGTCCCAGGGACCGGAATTGCATGTGTAGACAGATCAGAGGAACAGTTCAAGCCTTTCTTGACAGTCATGCCAACCATGCTTACGCATCAATATGTCCAATTTTTCTTACCTGTGAGCCTTGGGATTATATTTGCACTCCAGTGGGGATGTGCTATGGGCCTGGAAGAGTTCTGACTGAAGGTCTCCTTTCATGGAAACTGGTCAGAGTGATTGCATACTGGTGTGGCTGGATCTCTGCTTCCCCCAGACCCAGGGCTGGCTCAGTGTGTGCAGCCTGGTGGGAATGTGAGGGATTAGGTGAAGGAAATGGCTGGCTGGGCTGCTGGGGACATAAAAACCATCCTTCCACCAAGCTGCCTGAAGAAATTCCCTGTGGAGAGAGAATTCAGACTCTCTCTGTGTTACCTTTCCACACTGCTGGGTTGAGAACTCATACTCATACTTTTCCAGCCAGCTGTTTTGGGGATGGGTTACGACTTTTCAAATACTGCAGATACAGATGTAGGTACAGTAAATTCGAGATATAAAAAAAAGGGGTAAATTATTTGATATAAGGCATTCCAGCCAGGAAATGCAATCCTAGAACCTCAGTTTGCCCCTTGTCTGAACCTAGAAGCACCCACATTACATGGGGACAACTGCAGGCTCAAACTTCTCTGGCAGAAGAGAGACCCTGCTGCTCACCCATTGCAGATCTGTTCTCTAAATGCTGTGTCACAGCAATTTTAGGAGAGAAAGGCCACCGATACCAGCTTTCAGAGAGGGTGTTGAGGGATGGAATCCACTCTTATGTTTTAGCATTCACCACTCTCTTCCCAGCTGTACAAAGCAGCTGCACTTGGAGTTGCTGGCTTTAGGTAGGTGTATGATCATCTTTGTGGGGGAGTTCAACCCATTTTTGAGGACCTGACCCTCCCCAGGCCCTGAACAGGGACTTTAAGCAGCTCACACTTGGAAGCTTTGCTACTTTTTGTCCCACCTTTGCTGCCGAAGCCCAACTGGGAGGAGGTTGCAAAACCAGAAGGATTTGGCCCGGGGCTAATTGAAGCAAAAATAAATGAGGTCAGTCCCTGGTACGTTCCAGCGCGTTTGGGCTCGGAGGCTGTGACCGACGGCTTGTGGTCCAGACCCGTATGGTGCTTTTAGCTATACATAATTAGATGTTTTTCTAAAGCAAACCATTACTGACAGATTGAAAGGTTTTTATTCTACAGGACTTTTCCTGCCTCGTCTGCCAGGAAACATGCAGAACTCACTCGAACTCCGCTTCCTTGGAGTAAATCACAGCGTGGGGCTGCCTTATCTCTACCAGAGACCCTGTATAGGAATGTTGCACTGTCCAGCCCTCGGGCCACCCACCCCTGGTCCCAGGCATCAGCATCTGCTCCAGGCCCAAGCTCTGACCCTTCAGAGACATATTTTTGCAAGGTCAGGAGGTTGGGTGGTAAAAGGGGAGTGGGGAATAGCAGAGAGACAGTTGAGGCTGGCTCTGCAAAGAGATTTCAGGGGGATGTTTACACTGGCCATTAAGTGCAGACTCGAGCCTGTTCTCCTCTCCAGATTTGCAGCCTGTCTGTGTGGTTTGCATGCAAACATGCACCAGACACAGCTTCAAAGTCTTCTGGATGAGGGTGTCCATGCATGGGACCTCTGCAGGCTTGGTCCTTGGTCATGCAGCCTGGTCCAGGTGGACCAAGGAACGATCGGGTAGGGCAGGCAGCCCCACCAGGTATCACCTTAACCCTGGTTCTTTCGTAGGGCAACGAGGATGATCTTAGCATGAGCTGCAACTGAGATGCTGTGGTACAACCAAGGGGAAGTATAAATAAGCAGAAAAGCCATTTGAGAGGGGACAACACAGGAGAAGGGGAGAAACAGCTCTGTCAAATGGAAGTAGATGGGCATCCATCTCAAATGGATGGAGATGCAGCTCTGTGGATTGCTGTCATCCATTCACAGACCACTTCTTTTCATGTCATGTTGTGGTGATTCACCACCTGATAGCTCGTCAGCAGACAGAACTACAGAAAATACTGTTGCACTGGACAGGGAGAGTCCATTTTGTACATCAGTGAACTGTTGTCCCCTGTGGGGAAATGTTGTCCTTTGAGATCAGGTCCAAAAATGATTTCATGTGAAGTTTTTCTGTGAAATTTCTGTTGCATTTCTTTGGAAGGGCCAACTGACTGGCTTCATCCAAGAAATAGCTGTGGAAGGGGTCACTGAACATGGTCTGACTGTCCATCAGGAACAGGGAGAGACTGTTTCTATGTGCCTCACACCACTTTCCCAGGACATATTAGATGAAGAGAGGGAAAGGGGGAAAAAAGATAATGTTCCAAGCAAAATTTCTGATTTTCTCAAGTTGCTAAACTGAAATCAGTTGTTTTTTTGTTTGTTTGTTCTTTGATTGCATTTTTACACACACACACAGCTACTTGTGTATAAATCTTTCTTGAATGAAGGGGAAAACACAATTCTTTTTTCTCTAAGGACTGGTCTCAACAAAGACTCCAATCCATTGCCCAGTGAAATAAGGATTCAGGGTCCAATGTAGAGGGTTGCACAGTGAATTCTTCCCTAGCTACTCATTAAAATAAGCTACTCCAACTCCTACTGAGCCTTTTAAGCAAGTGGTTCATTTTCAGAAAGGAATTACGAAGCCTGAAGTCCGGGAAATCAGCCCTGCCCATCACCCAGCCCAGGCTGCACCTCCCTGCCATCCTGTCCCTGTCCCACTGAGGAGCCTCAGGGCTGAGCCACCCACCGCAGCGTCCCTGAATTCAATTCCCATTTCAGCCTTTGCTTTCCTCCCTGGCAGAGCATGGGAGTCTCCCTCCCTCCTTCCCTCCCTCTCTCCCCGTGCAGCTGCTCAGCTCTGCGAGGGAAAGGCTCCCAGATGTGCTCGGGAGGGAGCGGGCAGAGTCCTGAATTCCACTCCATGCCGGGTGGACTCTTTGTATATTTTGTTTTAAGAAGAAAATATGTAGAGAGTCCTTGGAGGAAGGCTGGGGACCAGGCACGTCCTCGCGAACACACTAACCACAGGGCTAGGAGGTCCTGCAAGTCATCTGCCCTTGGCTTGCCTTTGCCTGCAAGATGGACCTGTGGCTGATGGGCAGCTCTCGGTATCGTCAGCAGCTGAAGCCCATCTGCATCACACAACAGGTCCCTAAACCCTTTCCTGGAGGTGGCTCAAGGCGACCAGATCCTTTGAGAAAACGAGGTTTTACTCAAAAGCCAGTAAGTGTTGCAATGCCTAAACACCCACGTTTGGTATTTTTGGCTCATAAATGATGTGCCATATCAGATCAATAAATAGTCACACACTCCTAAGTGCTCTACAGAACTGGTTTCACTGAATTTAAGTGCATTTAGCTGTGGTACTTGGTAGCTACTTGATTATTGCGTGAGACAATACATTTATGAAGTGTTGGCCTTCATTTAGTTAATCACTTCATTGATGTGTAATATAAAAATGGTATAAAACTAATTGTTCCCATGGAAACAGGAACCCAGCAAATGATTTCATATCACAGCTTGGCAAAAGAAAAAGAAGAAACTTCTGTAATTGTTCCCATTAAACAAGCGCAAAGGATTCATGCTCAATCTCTACTACACTCTGCTCCACTTCTGCTGTGAATTAGGGGATGAAAACTCAGCACAGAACCACATAAAAAAGCTCCAAAACAAGCCGTGCTTTATTGAGTATTTGTAGTTCTGCCACCAAAACCATTTCCCTTCTGCTTTACAGGTTTCTGGCCAGCAACACCAATGACTGTCACGGCCAAAACGTTAATTTGGAGATGTCATGCACAGGGGCTATAACCGTGCACAAGCTGCATGGTGAGGAGGGAGGACATCCCCGACCACGCTGCAGGACTGAGCTGTGGGCTAGACATAGGACAACCCTCATCTCAAGGGTGAGTGCTTAGAAAGTGTAGGCAAAGCCAACTTTTGGAGCAAGAAACTGAGGCAACCCTCCCCAGCCTGGGGTGAGATAGGCTGCCATGCAAATCGGTCTGTGTGTGCACAAAATAACCCCAAATATCATCTTTACTGAAGTTTTCCCCTCTTCTTCTATAAGACATTTGATGACTGGGTCATCTCGAGGGCTTTATTTTTTTTAGAAAACCCCCAGTATCACTGTACTAGAGGGACTCACATTCTCCAATTCCCTGAATTTCCCACCAGACTGAGATTTCCTAATCCAGTGAGGAGCAGCAGGCCCTAGCAAGGTGCTTTATGGTCATGAACCTTTACGTGCAAGATCAGCCTGGCACTTTCAGCAAGCCTAATAGCTTTACAACGTCATGGAGTGGCCTGTCTGTGCACCTGTGTGGTGGTGTGAGCCTCCCACACATCCTCCCACCTCCACCCCATGCACCTCAACCATCCCATCATTTGCCTGGGGGCTCTGCCCCCACCCCAGCCCCATCACACACAGCAATAAAAGGCAACCAACAGCACAAAAACCATTTGGGCTACCAGGCCAATGGCCACCCAATCCCACCAGCTTCTCTGGAGGGACCAGGAGACATGGACCTGCTCTATCCCAGGAACCACTGCAGAATGGGTTTCTCACTGGGCTAATTACTGCTAATTGTGCCACTTTACTATCTCGCCAGCCTTGCCCTGAACAGGGCTGATAGGGTATCAGTCAGATAAGGAGCACTCAGCACAGGTAACTGGTAAGTGTTGTCTGACCTGTGGTGGGGTGAGCTGCCTTCTGGAGGGGTTATCTTTCCTGCTGAGAGTCCCAGGCACCAATCTCCTAAGAGGGACGCTGTGGTCCTAAGGATATCTGGAGGGTAGCTGAGACTGCCACGTTCCTCTGAGCTTCTTAGGAGGTGCTGTAAGGGATTTTGGTGACTCAGGATTTGCAAACACTAGAAAAGCAAGCTGGCATTCATTTTATAGTAATTCTTTTAAATTTACTTAACATGCAGTTTATTCTTTTGAGTGGTTTTTGCTGTTGTTAATTTAACACTGTGAAAATGAAGGTTTCATCATTTCTCTCTTTTTTTTTTTTTTTTTCCCACAGAGAAATAAATTCTGTTCTTTGTTTTTCACCATCTCTGCTGACTTACATGAAGCAATTGAGCTCCAACAGTGGCCTGAGCACTAGGTAGGAATTATTAACACCAAAGTGGAAACTTGGACAAGGTGTCATTATTGTTCTGCAACGTTTTTGGAAAGTTACTTGCAATAAAATACTTGAAAATTTTGCAGCCAACTCAGAGAAAAGTCTTTTGTGTAAACGTAGCTTCTGGCTGTGTGTGTAATCACACATCGCACCTGGCAGGTAAAACACACTGGTACACAATTCCTGAACACATCACTACCTACATGTTGTCTTGCACCTGGGTATTGGTGCTTGTTCTAAAACCTAAGAGAGCACCACCACTTCACTTGATGGATGAGCCAACAGAGATTGTTCATGGCTATCAACATCAACGGCAGGGCAACTCACACATCTGAAAAACCTGAGTCCTCTAATCCAAAGCTTGGGTTATTTTCCATGTCAAGTATCTCCATGTACAACAGCAAAGTAGGAGAGATGGATAGGCAGACAGACAGACAGAACATTTTCTTCCTCGAGGTACCTCAGTCATCTGCTTTTCCTTTTACTCTGCGAGTCTGGTCCACTTTCAGTTTGGTTTAAGTTACCAAAGTTTCTCAGCTTGTTACAGTAAAGCTCATAACAAAGTCTGTGGCCAGCTCTTTCTTTGATAATTCCTTTCCCCCCATTTGTTTATCTCAAGTACTGAGCTTTGTTCCAGGCCCAAAACCAAAAGCCTTTCTACCCTGTTCTCTTCTTGACTTGTTGCAGATGTAATGAAATAAATCTTTAGAAAGAACAAACCTTCACTTCCTCTCTCCCGTCTGATTCAGTCACAAACCCCAGGAAAGAAAAATAAATCACAACGTGAGCTCGCCCAGTCTCAAGGGATATCACATCTAGTCCTGTAGGCCACCATTCAAATTGGACATGTCCATCCCTCAGAGAAACCAGTGAACACAGCGACCGAATCAGCAGCATCAGCCCAGTCTATAGTGTGAAACCACCCATGCAAACACAGCCCCATGCATTTCCGTGACCCTGGTGCCCATCTCACCCACTTTTCCCAATTCTCCATGTTATTTTCCCCCTCCATGGTCTGACAATGGGAAAAAGATCTGATAACCATTAAATCCTTATTTTGAGCACTGCCAAAGTCAAGGATGGGTAAAAAGAGTACTGAGATTGGTCTGAATTGAGTCATGAGCTCTCCCGAGCTGTTGGTACCTTCCCAGAGCTTGTCCCTTGGGCACCAAAGGGTGATGGGCATTGTTGGCTTTTCTCACAGCCCCACCAGCAGCTTTGCCCCTCTAATCTCTTCCCTGCCACCTACTTAATGTATTTGAAACTGCAATCAGAAAAACAAGCTGCAAGATATGTTTGTTTTTCTAAATCGGCCATCGCAAAGAGGTAGAAATGTATGTCCAAGTAGAACTTCTCCCCTTCCTGAGAGTGAAACACATCAGCCTGAAGCCCTTTCCAGTGCCCACTTCACTTTGCATCACCCTGGACTAGGAAAGGGCAGCCAATCACGGTGTCCCCACCATGAAGGTTGCAATTGAAGTGAGGCACAACTTCTTAAAACAAGGTTGCCTACATTTGCCTAACTGTGTCTTCAGTCAACAGGGATCTAAGTTAAAGACAGACCTGGCTTTAAGCCGGGGAATACTGGAATTGTATAAAGAGGATGATCTGGATTTACACCAGGTAACATCTGCCCCATTGGCTTTTATTCTTTCAAGGATACTTGGGAGAAGATGTAAAGAATGACAAATAGTGCTGATGTCAGAAGACATTTGGGTTATGCCTCTAGTCCCAGACCTTCACTCTGGAGGGATGAACTGAGAATTTTCTTTCTTTTTTTTTTTTGAAAAATTTAAACAAGACGTCTTTGCACATTTGAAACAATCTGTACAGTTAGCATTGAAGAAAGTGTAATTAGACACTTTGAGAACTGGAAGAAATTAACTCCAACCACAGACCGTCACTCAGACTATTACTTAATAATACTTCCCAAATGTGCAAAGTACTTAGTTTTAGAATAAGAGGAAAGAAGTATAACTCCTCACCGAGAGCAAAGGCTTTGGCCCAGGAAGCGTACATGGAAAAGACGAAAGCCATCATGCTCCAAACCCAGAAGATGTTTGCCACCTCCTGCCACTCGAGGGGTACCGGGGCACCTGGTTGGGACAAACCTGCTGGGCCACAGTGCTGGGCTGTGAAGGATGAGATTCACAGCCCCACGGTGCTTGAATGGCTGGAACGGAGTCAACGGGAGCGACCAGCCCGAGGTGCAATGAGCTGCGTGCGAGAAGATCGCCTTCAGTTTCCAACATGCCAAGGAAACCGCTGAGAAATTGCTGTTTTCCTTCTTCTCCAGCAGCAGGCAGAGCCGTTGACTCACCCCGCGCTACAGAGACCTGGCTAGAAAGAGATTATTGTGATTTCTGCCCATTTCTTTCCTCACTACAAAAGGCCCCATTCATCTGGGCTAATTTTGAAGGGAGAGCAAGGGGTATCAGTAGCATGAACTGTATCTGAGTGTCTCGACCACATTTCAGCAAGCCACGCTTGTTGGCCAGTCCAACCCGGTGAAATAGATATCTTTCATGTGAAGCTTTTTAGTGGATAGTTTCTCTGATTTTAAACAGAAGTATCTTTTCTGGCCATGGCAAGTTTAAAAAGTACTGACGAAGCAGGGACGGCCATTTCCATAGCAAAAACAAGAGGCCATTCAAAAAGTGGGGGAAAAAAGTTGTTCTTGCTGCAGATATGTATTTCTGCTGCTGCAGTCAACACACCTATGTTGCCCTACCTGAACACACCCTATGTATATGCAATAAGGTTGTGCCCAGAGCAGTGATTCTCTTGCCTTATTTAAAAGCGCTGAAAAAAATTGACTTTTAAAAAAAAAAAAATACATACATGATGCCTTATATGCTTAACCGCTAGTCTTTGTGGAGCTCAACTGGGACTGTCTGTGTGTGTGGGAAGAGCTACAACATAATTGCTTTCAGCAGAATATCACTGTAGTCTATAATTAAAATATACAAGGTTGCCAGTTTCAAAATTTTTAAGTGATTTCATCTGTATTTTGGGTGATTATGTCTCTCTGAGTGGCTCATTTAAAATGATACTTCTATTTTCGGCACACAAAATGGTCGCTGGGCAAAAGAAAAAGATAAATTTGTCCTCTCCTTCTTGCAGTCTCCAAGAAAGCATCTAGGGAAGCCTGGAGAGGCAGAGCTCAGACTTCACCAGCATGTCCCATCAGCAGGGAAACCCTTGGTGAAAGCTGCTTGTGAAGTGTCATTCCAGAGATGGAGTGGAAGGTGTGGAGAAAGAAAAGAAAAGAAAAAAAAAGAAAAGAAATCACTAACAGAAAAATCTGGCACCTCCTAAATCACAGTGACAATTTCAGCACAGTGTTTACACAGAGTAGTAAAAATAAATTGCCTGAGACTGATTATACCCACATGCCACTAGCCAGGCAACAGGGATGTCCCGCAGTTTCGGAAACCAAACACGAGGAAACACGTGCCCGTGGCAATCACCCTCAGTGCGACAGCGTCAGGGCCAGGGCTGCTTTCTCCCCAGCCTCAATAAGTGGCAGCAGCAGTAGGAAGAGGGACATGTCACTCTTACCCCCCAACTCAGACATGACTGAATGAAGGGTGGCTTTTGAGGCCACCACAGATGAGAACTCCTGCAAGGACCACAGACCTATGAGCAATGTGGCTTTAGGGTATCCTCAAACTTTGATAAATTAAGCCTGTATGCTCATGAAGCCCCTCTGAGATTTTTTCCACAGCTGGATCAGTTGGGGAGTCAGTGACTCCATCCCTGGTCCTCTCCTAAAGACCTCATGACCTCATCCAATTTGCTGCCAGACCTTCCCTGAACCTCAGCAGAAGTGAAGGGACCTCTGCTGCATCCCCTCTTCCTTAGGAATAACAGCAGGGGAATATCCTGACCCCATCTTAAGGAGAATAACTTAAAACATGTCTGCCTTTAACATATAACCCACAGTGTCCCAGCTTAGCACAAGCAGGAGGTGGCCCTTTTTTCATCCCCATCATGGTGCCCCTAAAAGCCTTTCTCTCATTTCTGGTCTTTCTCCAAGGTAACTTCTGGCTTTAAGAAGATGTCTCTAACCCAAAAGGCTGGATGGCTCCTCACAGTGGGACATCCCTAAGACATTGAGCATGACTAGTTTTGGTGGGATTAATGTCCCCGGAGAGCTTGTAACTGACATTATACTTTGCTGGGGGCTGTGGTGGCATCAGTTACCTGCCGGGCTGCAGTGTCCCTGCAGGAGGCAGTGAGTAAGCCCCATCCCCTCTCTAAAAAGTTGCATGGGGTAACATAATGGAGTGGGTCAAAAAATGGAGAACAAAAAACCCAGCACAATGAACATATGTGACCATGTATGACTGTCTCCAGTGGAATGAGGGCTGTAGCTGGTTACTTCACTTGGTAGCAGGGTCAGAGCAAGCGATGCAGACACCGAGTTACCTTGCCAGGGCTCTGGTGCTCTTAAAAAAACAGGAGAAAGGGAAAGAGATGAAGGCTCTAGAGAACAATTTCGAGCAAGAGAGGATAGTATGAATGTGCTGACTGCAACATGCATCAGCTTTCAGGACATCCCAATGATATGGGTATGGCCAGAATAAATTCTGTGCATACTCTAGTCGCTCATGGGCTTTGGATACGTGCAAAATGTCTTGACTTCGTGGCTTTCAGCAGAAGGAATAACCAGCGAGAGGTGTGCTTCATTCCCTTAGAGAGATGCCAAGGCCAGCCATGCCTCCGTGCTGCTGGGGAGCATCCTCTTCCCCAAGCAGGAGGGATGCACACACACGAGCTGTCAAAGGTATGCGTGGCACGCAGCATTTTTTGATCAAAATAAGTAATATAAGAAGGCAAAGATGATAGCATCGCTGTTATAACTGTAATGAGTCACAAATGCTATTTTGATGGCTTTCTTTGAAAGAAATACACAAAACCCAAGCGATTTAATTAAAGATCTCCAAGGCTTTGCAATCAGCATGGCCACAAATGAAGGCAAATCTACTTTCATGTGGCAGAATACATGAGTAGTTTTCCCATTAAAATAAAAAGAAAGAAGAGAAAAAGACATTGTAAAAAGTCTTGTTTATAAAGATACTAGGACG